CTCTATCCCTGACAAGAGATTTCTCACCAAAATTATTAATGATTCCTTTTGATTTTTAAAACTTTTCTTGCTTTGAAAAATATGTTACAGTTCTCTTTGTTTGGAGATGTGATATTGAAATTACTTAAAACTTGGGCTGAGGATTTAGCTCAGTGGTTTCACTGCCTGCTACGCAAGTGCAAGGACCCGAGTTCGATCTTCGGTAACAAAAAAAAAAAAAAAAGAAAGAAATTATTTAAAACTGTTTGGTGTATTATTTGGAGCATAAACAACATGTGAAGAAATGGAGCATTAGTGGGAGAAAAAAGTAAAGTGTACAGAGATAGTTAGCACATCTGTGAAGTTTAATTATGGGGCAAAGTGTGACAGTTAAACTGGATTATCAACCTGAATGCCTTGAGAGCTGCCCAGAGAATTAGGAAAGCGTATTTTTGGCTTTGTGGGTGGTTCATGGAGGAGTGATCTTGGGATCTATATCTGATCTCTCAACCCTTCATTTTGGGGCACTGTTCCCTTGCTCTGAATCCTGGAGGCCACGAACTAAGCATCTTTGCTCTGCCACACCTTTCTACCATGATGTTTGTGCCTTTGGAGCTAGCTGTTCCTGGACTGAATCCCCTGAAACCATGAGCCAAACATACCTTTCTTCCTGTAAGTTGCAGGTGTCTGATATTATGTCCCAGTGACAAAAATAAGTGACTCATACACGAAATTAAAAGATAAATATTTAAACAGTTATAAAATTTAGAAAGGTTGTGATGTTGATGCTGATGATGGTAATAATGCTGTTGCCTTTTTCGAAAAGCGATGAAATAAAGAAGACTCATCTAAATTACAAAAAAAGAACGGTGCTTCTGTGTGTGAAGAAGTGAGATGACCTGCTGAGAATAAAGAAGGAAGATAAGAAATGACTGCCACATATTTGAAGTAAGGCGAAAAGGACTCTGTCAAAGACTCTGAATTTAATGTTAAGTGCAGAGTATACTTTTCAGTCTTCTAAGTCATACAAGTTGAACAATGAGAAGTGAAGAATTTTTCCATAGAATCTAGACAAGATGATGAAATGCAAAAACACTTGGGGCTGGTGTTCTAGTAGTAATACTGTATTAATTTATCTTGTTTTTTTCTGAGAGATTATATCTACTTAGCTTAGGAATCTGGTGGGATATCTTTTAGTTTTATTCTATTTTCATTTTGTTTTAGAGAAAAAGAGAAATCAACTCTGAACCTAAAGACAACAGCAGACCTCACAAGACCAGCAGAAGCTTAAACCACCAGATCCCAGAAAATATAAGTACCACGTGATGAAATCATATGCCAGGAGTCTAATTTGGATCATTTCCCCCAAAACAAAGTTTGAACAGACTTGATAATACTCTTTTGGAATTTTGAGAGATACTTGGCATAACGTGATGAAAAGGATCCACTGAGAGAGTGAAAGCAGTCATATAGGAATTAGGACATGAGAAAGAATGGCATATATGGAAAGTCTCAGTTCTTAATATTGATTGGAGCATTTGATGTGGGTGGGAGTGGAAGTAAACCCTGAGGACAGCAAGGAGTGGCAGTCAGTGATTAAAGGTCTTGGATATCGTTCTAATGTGCGATGCTAAAAATGATGAGCAACCACTAACACTATGTGTATGGATCTATTTCCCATTGCTGGAACAAAATCCCTGCTACCTACACCTTGAAGGAGGAGAGGTTTATTTTGGCTCACTGTTTCAGAAGTACCAGCCTTTGGTCAGCTTAAACCTCATGGCAGAAGGTCATGGTGGAGGAAAGCTGCTCAATTTAAGGTAACCAAGAAACAGAGTGGCCAGGGAATTCAGAGTGGAAGTGGCCAGGGACCACGAGGTCGCACTTCACCATCTACTTCCTGCAAGTAGATTCTACCTGCTAATAACCCAGTCACGAACACACTTATCGGTGAATCACCTATTGATGAGGATACACCCTCATATCCAGTCATCTCTCCAGGAGCTTCAGTCAAGTTGACAATCAAAATTGATCAGTCCCCTATGACTTCATCATGGTGGAAATATGCTTAATTTGTTCTGTCTGTATGTTAGCCACCCTAAATATTTTATAATAGTAACTGTTATCTGAACTAAAAAATAAGCAGTTCAGATACTGCTCTTTCCAAGAAACTCATAATTTTTAAAAAGTATGAATTTAATGAATTGAGAAAAAAGAAACAAAAACTTCAAAACATAAAATTAGGAAAATACTCAGTCCTTTCTATCCTGTGTGACTTGCATATATTGTGCCTTTTTTCTGGAATAGTGTTCTTCTTTTCCTCCCTGATGTACTTTTACTCACTCTCCAAGCTCAAATCAAATATTTCTTTTTTCTGAGAAACCTTACTTGGGTTCCATAAGATTGAATTACTTTTTCTCTCTTTTCTTATCAGCTTATGTAGACCACCATTCAAGACTTAAGATTCTGCCATATATATATGTGGACATGCTTTTTGTTCTCTTAGCTCTGCTTTGCAGCCATTCTGTTGGTTATGAAATGGTGTGGAAAAATTACACTAAAGCCATTTCAAGTTAATTATATATTTCATGACTAAATGATCTAGATAGATTCAGAGAAAAACAAATGATCCTGATATGTGTGGATGAATGAGTTAGGAATATTCTTTCATTCATGCATGAAGTAAAATGACTCATTTGGAGACAGTGGCCACCGGGATTAGTGTGCAGTCAGTCCCACAACCACTCACCCACCTCTCCCCCAGAAGGCTAAGATGGAGATCATGAATCTCACAGATTCTTGTGTCTACTGGATTCCAGTTGCATCTGCTAATGACAGGTAATTGTGAGAGTATCAAAAAACAAAGGTACGAGTTCAATCCCTGGTACCAAAAAAAAAAAAAGTATGAAAGATATTTGGTTTTTAAAAACTTTTTCTTCTTTTGGTAGGGGAGACAAAGAGAGCAGAGACTCTCAAACTTCTGTTCAACAATGTGGTGATTCTTTCAGCCTGTGTACAGTCCCACTGGCAGCAGGAAGTTTTCAATGGTGTCAATGGACTGTCAGCTCCTCATTTATCTGATTTCTTCTTTGAAGATTCTCCAGACCTAAAGTCAGTTTCCTGCAATTTCTGTTTAAGAAATAACACTTTCATATTTTTGTTATTCTAGCCTATCAATAATTTTGTAATCACTGACCTGTTATAAATTCCTCTCTGCTGAAAATACTTACAATGGCTAATAAATTGCAGCAAAAGAGAGAAGGTAACTGAGTAGGGTGGGGAGACTGCCCATGGAGAGGTGTAGAAGGGTTAGCGACTTGCTGATGGATGGGATGTAGGGAGTTAGGGAAACAAGAGAATCAAAGATAATTCTTTTTTTTCTTTGAGAATTCAGTGTCCTTATTGAGATAGGAAAGAATTAAAGAGAAACAAAGTTAACAAGACATACAACTATCCTGAAATTACACCTATGAGCATGTAGGATATCAGAGAATGCTATATGAAAACTGCTTCATAAGATTAATATAGTTGAAGGGGAGAGGGAAGGGATTTAGCTTAGAAGATTTCATCATTTAGAAACTCAGATCAGTGGTTTATACTCAGCGGATTTTACTCAGATTAGTGGTTTATAACTGTGGACTCAGAATCAGACCACTGTTCTGGGATGTTACGTTACTTTGAAGATTAATAGAGAACCAGTAAGTATTACATAACAAACATACATGTATCCACCACTCAAACTGTTAAGTGAGGATGTAAAAACATAGAATAATAACCTAATCTACCACTCTATGTTTTGTTACATTTGATTCAATTCTTTTTCATTTATAAAATAAATAAATTATTACTGTTAAGATTTTCCTATGTGCTTCATTCTTATCTCTCGTTTCTCTCCTACTGTCATGAATTATTTTCCTTAAGTCTATATTTTAGCACATGGAATATGTGTCCATGAATAACATAGTCATGGGTTTCACAATGATGTTTCAATCAATGTCAGATTGCACATACAATGGTGGTACCATAAAACTATATTGCCCAGTGATGGAGTGGCCACATTAGTTTGTATACTCTGTGATGTACATACAATGACAAGTTTGCTCAATGCTTTTCATAACATTTTTCAGAACATATCACCATTATCAAATGATGCATGACTTCATAATTTTTCATAATGTTTTAGTTTTCCTTCCTGAGTAGATTGATGTGTTATCCTATAGATTTTCCAAAGTTTTAAAAATTTCTATATGTATGTCACAACATAATAACTGTTAAATATTACCAGTCTCTTTTACCCTCAGTTTTCTCATCTATCAAATGGGGCAGAATGATAATATCTATCTCACAAGGTACTTTAAAGATTAAATAACATCGAACCAATCTTTACAAACCAGAGTCTAACACAATGATAAGCCCTAATAAATGATAGCTGTTGTATAACATGTACTGGAGAAAGACAGTCTTTTTTAGAAAGCCTAAGGCCCACTGGGACTGACATGTGGCTTGAGCATATGGTGTCTTTCAGCTATAACTGCTCTCTCAGTATGTTTACAACAAATTCTACTGTCCATGATATTACTAAATCTTGTATTATTAATAAACTGAACTGTTATATCCTATTTGGCTGTCATATCCTAGCAGGTCAGTGTGCTGATCATATTTGTATCTTTAGCGCCTAACACAGTACAGTGCCTGGTTTAGAATAGGCTCCTAGGAAATGTTTGCTGCGTGAAGAAACAGATGAAACCTACTATGCCAGGCAAGCAGAGATCCTTTTTCTGTGTGATAAATAACAGACAGCATTTTTCAGAAACAGTACTCTCTAGCACTGGAGTTGCCACATATAATATCACCTGATGTTAGAACTTGGCACACACTGAAAGCTCAAAAATGGAACGTAAAGACGAATAAAGATGATAAAACATTGGATGTAGCATGCTCCTTACACAAAGGGACACCCTGTTTTGATGTGATCCACATTTTGTAAATAAAATTCCCTAATAAAACATACTAACAACAAATTCATTTTGCATATTTAAAATACTATATTTCATCATAAAACACACAATATAAATGATTTTCACCTGTATTTAATACATTTTAAATGGGTGTTTTAAACATTACCATTTGTCCGTACATATTCATTGCATTATGATTTAGAATGTTTTTGAAAAGATGCCTTCATTTCATAGTACTATGTTTTTAATTATGTGCAAATATTTAAGCAACTGAAATATAAAATATTCACTTATATTCTTAAGGAATGTGTTATCCCAATTCATTTTTTGTAACTCCAAATCACAACAAAAGCTGTATACTGAGTCACACTAAGTAACCCAAAAATGTTATACAATGAACTGAGATCATGCTTGGGCAAAATATAGATAGCTCTAAATTTCTGTTTGGCATCCACACATTAAGAAATCAGACATTCAACTCTATACAATAATTAGAAAATTGCATACACATGTCTCTAATTGAGGCCATTAAAATCAATTACAACAAAGACAATGACAGTGAAAATATCTGTAAATAAAAAGATTTCTAAATCACAGATGATAATCAAATTACCTTGAACAAAACTTAACACTAAAATAGGTCAGTGCAATTTTGTAATTGAATAACATCTTGAGAAGTATTTGTTTTTAATCAATGGAATGTTTTTAAAAAAGTAATCCTTCAAATTTTAACCCAAGTTAGTTGATAAATCTCCTGCTCATCCTCACTCTTCATTTTAGAGCTATATTTTTAATGTTAAATCACTAACAATTTAATTTTTATAAAAACATATATATTTAAATGTTGTTACATTATAGACTGATTAAAATATTAAATGCATGGTGTATATTAACATTCCAAACACATATACAAAATCATTATCAAAATGTCATGCTGATTTTCTGGAGTTCTGTAAAAACAAACTACCCCCTCAAAGTGTCCTAGGGTGTTTTTTTTTTTTTCTGAATACAATTCTGTACTTATTCTCCAAGTAGGCAGTTAGAATGTGTGGGATATCTTTTTCACTAAACCTTTCTGTTTGCAAAGTAAACATTAAATCACCTAATAGAGTCCTATCTCAGCTGCTAAATAGAATTATCTATAACGTATTTGGAATATGATTATGTGAGCTAGACTTAACCATCTAGGCATTTGCTTCCTGCAGACAACTTGCAATGGTGTAGCAAAATATTTTGTTTGTATATTTTTTCTTATTAAGTACATATGCCAAAATTATATTTGCAGAGTAACAGCATTTTATTCTCTTTCAGAGTAAGTTAATCCAGTCACACCAGCTTGAAATGAAGCTAAATGAAAAGTATTATTAAGGAAACCTACCATAGACATTGAAAACATGATTCAGAAATGGCTAGAAAATGCCAAAAACAAAGCATAATCAAGTATTAACCATCAGCATGGTAATATATTCAATAAAGGTTCTTGAGGAAGTTGGAAAGTTATAATTACTAGCAGGTTAATTAAATAAATACACAGTTTGATTGAAAAATATATGTATTTCATTAAAATAGAGACTCTGCATCTCTAGCTAAATTCTGTACAGATGACAGGTTTATATTTTAATTAGAACAAAAAACCAACCTTAATTTCAATGCAACATAATAATTCATAGTAATGATTGTATATTAATCTCTTGAGCATTCAGGAATATAGCACATGACATATGGCATAGTACAGGCACCTGTCTGGTCCTTTGGGAACTGAGGTGCTGCATATTAATTGGCCCCTGGAAAATAAAATCCGTTTCCCTCTGAGAAAAGCTACCTAAGTGTTTCTTGGCTTAAGAGATCAAAAGAATTAAATGAAATACTGTTAGGTTCTGTCTACACTCATTAAAGCTTTGTCTACATGTAGGCACTGAAACAACTGCTTCAGAGTAAATTCTTGACTGAATCCTGCATACGAAATTGGAGTAGCCATGCATTGCTTTGGCATAGATGATTGTATTTTGGCAGAAAAATATCCAAATAACCATTTTGAGTCTAGTAAGCTATACTGTATGACTGTATAATTCAAACAAAAAATGATCTAACTAGAAACATTAAAATTCGAAGCAGCTTTTTTCTTGAATGCTACCTGAAACTACCTCACTTTAATCCTTTACTTTGTAAGTTCTGATCCAATCTGAATATGTAGTTATAAATGTCTTCGAGAAATATGTCATCTTGCAATAAATCAGATCTCAAGATTCTTGGCAATTTCAAGTATGCTAAAGGCACTTTAGTATACACGTTTGAAGGATAATGGAAAGGTATTATAAAACTAAAACTCTGGATGATTAACAGATACATTTATCTAGAGATGGATAGATCTTAAAATTACTTCTCATGGGAAAAATGTCTAATCTCATTGCCAGAATATATTTAGAAAGAGAAAAGAAAATCACATGGTCAGGGTGATGACCAGAAAACATTTTCTTCAAATTCATATCATTTAAAATTCTAAATTGTATAGAACAAATCCACTTAACTGAAAAGTATTCATACTTAATAGGGTGCATAAAACTGTGAAGCTTTTTAAGATCTTTCAGAATAGCAAATTGTAATAGGCTTTTTCAGGTTAACCATTCAAACTCATGAAAGAGAGACAAATTCTGGGCTAGATATTTTTCTCAAATATCACATTGTTTGTTTTCCACTCTGAGCTGCATTCGGGAGCCTGTGATGAGACTATTGCGTTGCTGACAAATTTATTGGAATATGTGGGCTCATTTCCCTTCCACTGATTACATGGAAGGGGTTAAAATAATTTCTTTCCATTAAGTAAATATGTAGCTAAGATACTCTTAAATTGAAGCTGTAAATATGTAGCTAAGATAGATACTCTTAAATATGTAGCTAAGGTAACTCTTAAATTACTATTAAACCAATGAGATGACAATGTGTTATCCAAAGAAAAAGCTTAATTTTTGGAGTAGTTACACATGCCACAGAATGTCTCAGGAGAACATTTTTGGCTAAGCTTACCAATGTAGCTGTATTATGAAAATAATTATAATTTTTATCTGAGACAAAGATGCTGATTCATTATTAGAAAGTAACAAATATTTATTTTTGTTATACTTATCTTTCTAATGGAGAAACTACTATGTATCATATATTTAGTTTAAACAGTTCATTAGTTACTCTTAGATTTTAAGACTGATATATAACCATAGTTATAAATCATAGCATATATTCTCTTTTCAGTGAAATTATACAGGCATTTGGAGGGGGAAATTGTGAGACTTGTGGTTCTGGTTTTGTTTTTGCTATTTGTAAGTCTAGCTGTCCTCATAGTCTATACTGACACACTTATTTTTAATGCCCTATAGATATCGTCAAACTTCCCTACACATGTGCATACTACTGAGGAATGGTGAAATTTGTTTCAAGGTCCTCCATCATACCAAAGAAGTAGCAGACAGCACAGTACTGCACAATTGTGGAAAAGTAGATTAAAATTTCCAATTATATCACTTTCTTAAATCAAATAATTCTTCTGATGTTTTATGGAGCACTCAGTTGGAAGAATATAGAATTAGACACTAGAGGGACACATCTCAGTATTTTTTAATAACTTTGGAAATTTGGATGTCATTACACTTTGTTTTCTCATTTTTAAGATGAGTTTTTGTAGGGATTAAATTAGAAAACCTTGTGGAAAATATCTAAAGTTGTGATTGACATGACCAGGTACATTTTAGCTACACTGGAATACTTTTCTTAGATATAAAATAGGTCTTTTTTGGTAATAGTTTCATTTAAATAAAAAAAAGCTTTGGGCTCCCTCATTTGTGATTCTTTGATTTACTTAGATGTGATGTCAATTAATATTTTCTAGGGACCAAGGATTAATATATATTAAGACATTCTTAAACTTCAGTGTTCATAAAGATCATCTGGAAATCTGAAGAGAGAGATTCCAAGGTCTCTCTCACCAAATTTCACATTTTGAGAAATACTGATTCAGACTGCTAATTTTATACCAAGCTAATGTATCCTGTTATAAATACATTTTGTTCTGTGTCCTCCCTCCTGAATTCTGGTGTCAAGTAGAGATATTTCCCATTTCCTTTAAGTAACCAGTTCCTTGACAAAGGAGCTTGAGAAACTGGAGGAAGATTTGTCAGACATAATCAGACAGTGAGCTAGCCTGGAATGGAAAGCAGTGTGCCTAGATCATAGAACATTTTATGAAATAGCTGGTTACTTACAAGAGACTGGAAAAGATTATTGTTCTGTCTCTTCGGGGTGGGGGAGGAGAGAGAGAGAGGGAACAAGATATGTTACGTAACAAAACAGAGAAGCTTAACTGCCAGAAGTGTATTTCATAGTCACTTCACCTTCATTTACTTTATCTGACGGGCATGAGAATGCTTTCTCTGGTTGAAGGCAAGATCCTGCAGCTTAGATTGGAACTTGTTAGGCTTCCTTTTATGGTTAGGATCTATGCTTTTCTAGGAAGGGCAGTATTCTATGGGCAACCTGCCCAAACACAAATTTCACAGACACATACTTGTCACATTTTCATGAGAGAATAGTTACTTAGAATTCATTATCTTTTGGTACTAGCCTCAGATTGAAGAATTTTGAGAAGTAGCACGTACCCAGATGTCTCCGTAAGAATTTATACATACTACCAATTCACACGAACATTTGATATTAACTTGTCCAGGATATTTTCCTTGGATCTATTAGGGGAAAATTAAAATATTGCAAATCTGGAGTAAACTGGAGATAATCATACTATAGTTGTAATGCTACTAGTTAAATTTGCTTCAGTCAAAGATGTAAAATAGCATCGATAGAATTGTCGGACATCTGTTTTAATTATAATCTAGCTTCTTTACATAATCTCTTAAATGGACTAACAAAACCAGATTAGTTCAGAGTAAACTGCAGTTTCTAAGAGCCAAAAGCCAAATAATTTAGAAGTGAGGGATATAACATAATGGCACTTTTAACTATGCAGTGTGACTTACCTACATATATTCAGTCTTTAAATAAAATGAAGAATAAAAATATTCTCTGCTCTCAAAACTATTGTGAATCACGGGAGGGAATTTATTTAGAATTTTATTCTAAAATAATCTACTAAAATGATAACAGTTTTTCATTCCTTATTTTAAATTTAACTCCACGTTTAAAAAAAATCAACACATTAACTTTTGATTAAGTATTTAAGGTCCTTTGATGCAAGGCGTTCCACTCTGTGAGCCCTCAAGTCGGTGCGGGTATTCTTAATTCTTTCTCGCTGCTCAGTTTTCCGGAGCAGGCGAGGGCACTGAGCTCAATGCACACAAGAGCCTGATCCTTTTAATCCTTTCTGTACACACTCTTCAATGTGTCATGTATTTTCAGATAAGTAAATTGGTTAAAAAATTGTAAGATAGTTTCAATTCTCATATGAAAATATGGACGCAAAGGCTGTTCTGATGAGAATGGATTTGTTTGAATTACCCAGCTAATTGTCTCAATTCTCTGCTTTGGGCATATAAACATTACTTACAGTAGGAAAAGCGAACTCTAACAAATCCATTAATCAATACTGATTAATTCTTTCCCTTCAACATTAGTTTTCTTTCAACTAAGACGAGGCTTATATTCATGCATAAGTGAAGACATAGACAGGGACTGCTTGCAGTAGTTCTGGGAATGTGTAATGGGGAAGTTATTTGAGTTTGGTAAAGAAAACGAGTAAGAAATATTGTGAGAGTTATTTTTCTTTAGGGAAACCGTGTTATCCAATGTCAGGAGTACATTTTTTAAATTATTAATAATAATAAGCTAAAAGTTTAACCTGCCCATTATTAGGCAGAGTTTTAGAGTTTGGAGGAATAGTGGATGCTGGAGATATTTAATGACAATGTCGATATTAAAAGCTGAATTTTCCACATGAAAGAAAAACTAAAGTGTGGAAGAAATGCATTCTTACTAAAAAACTCTACATTGTCTGCATAGAATTAGAAGCATGAATATTTTCTGTGCTTTCACCTTAGCTGCAATTAAGGATAAAGAAGGAAAAAACACATCAAATATACTTCATAGATTTACAGTTAGTTGTTGACAAAAAAATATTTCTTTCAGAGTAAGGTCTTTCTGTCAGTGGCATAAAAAACACTTTAATGCTTTTTAAGATATTTTGGGTTTTCAAAGAGAAACTTGGCTATTTTCCTGTGAAAATTATATAGTATTCTGTGAAAACTGCCTTACAGCAGAGTTTCAGAAAAGATGTGGGAAGGAAAAGTCATGTGAGACGCTTTCATTTTAGAGTAGCCTCTGTTTCAGTGATTTTAACAGAAACCACAGAAAACGAAATAAGAAATGTTTTCTCCCTCTGAAGACGTACATCACTTTTGAAATTCTTATAAAATCAACTGAAGCAAATTAAGGGTTTCAAAGCTAGTAACCTTATAAGTTGTTAGAAAAAAATTTTGCATTTAAATTGCTTTATGCAGCTACCTTGAGAATTTTCCCTGGAATGTTTATGGCTCTTTTTTCATTAATACTTAAAAAATACAATTTCATAACCAGTGTATTACTACATCTAGTTGTGTTAAGAAGAGGAACTTCATTTCATAAGACAGAAACATTAAAAGTGGTTTTGGATAATGAATCACTGGAGTCTTAATACTTCAATTCTTCATATTGAACACTTAATAGTGAAATTAATCTGAAACTATCAACTCTCCATTTCTAGTATAGAAACTTGGTCATTAATAGCTCTATCAGAGAATAACTTTGTGTTCCTACATGTTCTGTCCATAGGAGAGAAGATGTCCAGAACTTTATGGAAATTTCCTCCCAAAATACTTTATATATAAAAATACAGCAGACTTTTTTAATAGATAAATCTTAAGTACTATTTCAATAATTTGCTTTTACATTTCAGAAATGTAGATATAAGAACAATTTTTGATGTGCAAAAGATTCTTTCTATGTACATTAAAAATACCACGTAATAATAGCTTTAGACTTGTTGAAAAGCCACAGGGGAAAACGTCCTCAATGTCAGAAAAATCTGGTCAGATTAGAGCTTTTGCTTAGAGAATTGTAAACAAACTTTTAAAAAATGCTGAGAGTATTCTCAGGTCTTTGCTACCAAGAAACTCTCAAACACTTCAAGTCCTACTTTAAAGTAAACCTGAGCTGAATTAATGCTGTTCAAAACCTCTGACAGAGCTCCTTGAAGGGTCTCATTTGATGCAAGTGAGTTGCAGTGTTCCCAAGCCTCCACGAGTATCGAAAACTGGCTTGTCTTCTCATCCATGTGGTACAGGATATTTCTGAAATGAAATATAGAATGTGTAAATGCTGTACACAGAATGTGATTTTCATACCATTGTAAATAATATTGCCAAGAAGCAGTAATACCCACTGTGAAGACATAATTAAAATGCAATACAACCATTTTTCGAGCCCTCATGAAGTAATGGACATACATATTGATCATCAATAGTTTTCCATATTGATGAGAGAGAGAATCACACATTATATGCCTCCTGATAGGACACATTCAACAGTGTCTAAGAAATAGAACATGTGGGTTTTGATCAAAAATATAAAAATTGAATGTGAATCTGATGATATTTCAAAATCTAATTGGTACTTAATATGTAGGACAAAAATAAAATAAACTGACACCATGATATTTTCCTAGCCAAAATAAAAAAACAGACTGTGGGAAATCTAGAGGGAAAAATAACAGTATGATAACAAATAAATTGTTACTAAAAAGAGGGAAACAAGAAACCTACAGATCAGATTTTCTCAACTTCAGAGTGAAGTGCCAGAAAATTCTTTACTTCATTGGCTGCCTTGTTGGATATTGAGAAGTACTTTTAAACCCATCAAGCTAGATATCCTTAACAAATATCCTCCTCTAGTTATAAGAAAACAAGTTTCTAGACATTGCCAATGTATCTTTAACAGGGCAAAATTGCCTCTAATTGAGAACTATTTTTCTAGATTAATATATATATATATGTAAATTTATCAACCAGTCAAAAATTATGGACTTTACTAGGTCTTTATTCAAACAAACTGTTTAAATTATAAATAACAGTACAAAATTTAATACTGATTATTAGGTGAATATAAAGTACTTGTAAATATATACATGTGATAAGTGTATCATGAGGATCTTTCGTAAAAGTGTCTTTGTCTTTCATACATATATATAGTAACTTTGCAGATCAAATGCTATTATGTCTAAGATTTTCTCTAAAATATTTGGAAGAAAGGAAGGAGAGTGGAGATACAGGTGGTATATTGGAATAATCCTGATCATTAACTAATAATTGTCAAAACTTGGTAATGGAATTTGTTATATTATTCTCTCTTCTTTCATGTATCTCTGTCATGTAGAAGGTCACCTACTTGTAAGTGTAGGGTGTATAATAATAAGATGGAGCCCTGTAACTTAGCCAAATGACTAAGAGGAATTTGGTGTGAGAATGTCTAAGACAATCACCTTTATTCATTAATAGAAAGATGAAATTTGGTGGACCATTATGGAGTTATGCATACTTAGCTTATTTTAATCCTCATTACAACATAGTTCTTGTTACAGATGAAATTCCATGCTGTTAAAAGAAAAGACCTGTAAATAATTGAAGTACAATTGTCTAATTGTCATAGGAAAGATGGAAGGATTGGTGATTATAGGTGTGGGCTTGCTACTGGGAAAGGTCAGAGAAAGTTTCATCATGGAGAGTATTTGAAATGTGTCTTGAAAGATGTTAGGAGTTACCAGTTATAAGTAGATTAAAATACATTTTAATCATTCTTTTAAAATGCATTCTTGTATATGACTTATATTGCTTTACCAATAAAAATAATTAGTAAAATAAAATTCAATCATATTATATTAATAATTTTGAATCATCTTTCCTCATTGTATCAGTTCCATGTCTAATTATGAATAATTTGATGGCAAAAATATTTTCTGGATTTAAAAATACAGTAGATATTTTCCTAAACTATACCAAATATTTCTATTTCTTTGGAATATACTTTTTAGCATGCTCACAAATGTGATATTATAATCTTTATTATCAAGAACTGTTGCTTAAGTGAGTTGTACTACTTACAGTTGGTATATTGTGAACATACATGTTTAGTAATTTTCACACTGTTAGAGTAACTTTTCCAGTTTATCAAAACTGACACATATACATTCCCATATGCACAGTTCTAGGTGTGTTAAATGTTGCATATTATTAATATTTAATTTAATTAGATGATATTAATAAAACATAGTCATAAAGGTTGCAGGATTAATCCCTTGGTGGGAATTCCTTCAAGCATGGACAGTATCTAATATATTTATATAAAATTTTAGTCATAATTACTATAACATATCTAGAAGAAAGGCAAGAAAAGTAAAAGTACATTTTACAAATAACATTCTTATATAAGCACAAGAAATACAATAATTATTATTACTTTTTAACTGGGAAGCAATATGTGTATTTCTTACATTACAGACCAATGCAATAAAGTCTGGGGTCTGTCAACATTTACCTTTCTTAACTACTAAGCAGCACAGTAACATGCTTTTATAATGACTGCAGGCAAGATATGTGAATAGAAATGGACCTTGTTTTGGTTTGTGAAATTCCACAAGGAGCTAAACACATTCTCAATATGCTACATGTTTCAGGTAGTAAACTTGCAGCAAGCTATATGTAAGATAAACACTCATCCATTTCTAAACAAATTGGATACAAATTAGAATAAAACTACAGATATAGAGAGTCTAGTTGACTGTACTAACTAGGATGTTTGCATCTTAATTTAAGAGAAAACCTTCAATTTGAGTTTAGTGCTAATACAACTTAAGTTAGTTTATCTGTATTATAACAGTGGAAATACAGTTTCACTTGATACATTCACTTTGATACACTGCATCACCTGAAAAATAAATTGGGGATAACAAAAACATCTTTAAATTTTCATCAGAAGGATCATTTCTCCTACTGATTTTCAGAAGTGGCTCATCTTTTCTAGTTTCCCCTTAATGCACTAAAAATGGTCTATTTTCCCACTGTCAAAAATAAATATCTGCTTTTGGATCTTTATCAAGAAGAGTACCATTCTGTTATTTTATTTTTAATATTTGAGTTAAGACAAAAACAAAACCAAGACCATGGTTTAAATTCTACCTGAGACATTCTCATATATTTTTTAGTTCTGAAAACTTTCTTACATATTATTAATCTATTAACCCTAAATATCCCATGATCATCTTTGAGGAGCAAAACTACTATCCTACCATTTTAAATATGTAAATGCTTCTTGCCTTTGAAATATCTTAATTAGATCAATGATTTTGATGGACTCTTCTAAGACAAAAGCTCTTTGTATTCTCATGTAGTACATTAAAATTAAACTTTAATCAAATAGAGTTTAAAGATTTCAACAAAATATATCATATTAGGATGTACAAATCTGTCTCTCTTTCCCAATTATGCACCAGTATTTTCAAGTTAATATGGGAAAAGTCAAATACCTGGCTGAAAAATAGAGTAAAAAAGAAAAGTGAGAAAATACAGTTAAATATTTCATGTCAAGAATCTGAACTTTACAACCACATGGAGCTATATTCCTTAGTGAATCATTCCTACTCTTAAATATACCTACTTTAGCCTAATTTAGAAAAGTTTCCCTGGAGATAAAGTGATTCTGTTAGCATAGATCTAATTCAATAAATGACCATCTTATTTGCATATACATAACATGTATCTCAGTATGGCATGTAGAGACATCAGACCTAATTAAAATATTATTTAATTGAAATCATTTTAGTAGTTATCATGTTTAAAATAACATTAATTCCACCCTCATGCCTATCTTTCTTCATCTGTAACAATTTGGATCTTATAAATGTAATTCATACAGTCATCCTGACCCACACACACAAAGAGATTACTAAAAGGAAAGTGTAATACTTTATTGATGACACTAATGAAATTACAACACACATCATTCATTTTAATGGGTCTGTTTCAATGACACATTACGGTGACCAGGAAAGATCAGTGCCAAAATCAGAAACCTAATTAATAACTTCTAGCAGCATCAGTGAAGCAGATGAAGTACCTTTAGCCAACTGACAAATCTTTCCTATTCAACTAAGGCAAAAGGAAATGGAAAAAATGAATTTTGAAACAAAGGCATCTAAGATCTTCATGAGTCATTTCCATGTGTGTGAATTTGCAAATTAATGACATAAATGATGATTCCATTTCAGATGTTCTTTCTTATATTCATAAGCAGACATAAGACACCACCCATTGTAAAACTGAATTAACATTCATTATACCACATGTTGAGAAACTCCTCAATGAAATCATACTAAATAAGTCATGTCTTTCAAACCAGACTGCTGAAAGTAGAGAGAAAAGGCCAGTTTAATTTCTTACAATTGTTTTTAATTCTTTTAGGGATTATATGAACTGTATACTCTACTTAACAGTGGATATTTGTACATATATATTTATATATCTATATCTAGAGATAGCTATCTCTATATATCTAGAGATATCTATCTATATCTAGCTATAGATGTCTATAGATATATTCATATCAACATTAGAAAAGATTATTTGAATTACAATTGGGACTGAGGTGTATAGCTCAGTGGTAGAGTACATGCTTAACATACAAATGCCCTGGGTTCAATTCCCAGCATCCCCCAACCCAAAAGTACAATTATTTCCCTCCCTGTATGCAGTACCCTTTAAACTATGTCTTTGTAGTCTATCACATAAACAGTGAGAGATTTCCTCACGTTGAAACCCTGAATGTAGTTTCTCAACACAGCAAAGAGGTACTCAGCTCAAACCAGAAGAATCATACTGTGGGCGGTCCAGCCTAAATGGACATATTGTTGATGCATTAGTTAAAACAGAAATTCCTTCTCTGTTCTCTCTTCATATATTGACTGTTTAGTGTGTAGTGTGGATTAGACAGTTTTCAAATGATGAGTTAAATTCATAGAACTGTGCGAAAATCATGCTGAATACAGGGCATGCATTACAAAGTTAAGTTAACCATGTTGATACATTAAAAATCTTTAATTCTGTTTTAAAAGTTCTAAGTAAGATTTTTGCATTAAACCAAAAGCATAGTGAACTGTCATTATGAACTGAATGTTTGCATCCTCTCAAAATTCTTATATGGAAGCCCTAACCTACTCCCCATGTAATAGTATCAGAAAGTGAGGGCTCTGGGAAGTAATTAGGTTTGGATGAGATCATGAGGGTAGAAGCCCCACTTTTGG